GAACATTTTAATATCAAGCTGATGAATAGGAAGCCAACTTCAGCCTTGTGGAGAAAACAAGAGGCTCAGCAGCAGCTAAGTACTGAAACAAACAGCTGCAGAGGTTTCATAGCTTCTGATTTACACATCTGTTTGGTTGTAGTGTCCTGGATTCCACAGTTTGATAAGAGTGATTGTGGAAAAAACCCATGCTTCATATAGAAACACAAGATCAGATTGTAAATAAACTTGTAATGCTTAGTTCACTAAATATTGAGATGTAGCCTTTTTGTTTGTTTTTTGTTTGCTTTTATACAGATAATGCTCTTTTGTTTATATTCTTTATTTATTTGAAGAAAATGACTTATCTCAGTTATCCTATCAACGAGCACTGTTGTAGAAATGACCAGTGAATAAGTAAAGAAGAGAAAAATGTTGTTGCTATGTTAGCGTTTCTTTTTATTTCCGTGTCGAAAATATGTTGTCTTTTTGCAAATGTTGCTGTGTATATCAGAGAAATATATAGGAAATAATGAAGAGCAAAAGAAAGATGGGGAGGAGAGAAAAAGAACACCAAAGTGAAAAAAAAACACAAAGAGAAACAAGAGCGAGGATAGAAGAGAGTGGCAGAGGAGAGAAGGAGACCTAGAGAGATGGGGAGAGTGTGAAAAAAATGAGAGAGATGCAGACAGACAGTGTGAGAGAGATAAGAATTGTATTGTTGTGTCTGCATTGGATGACCTTTTGGCTGCTGATGTAGCTGCTGTTTTCTGTCAGAACTGTATTACCTGTGGGACCCACAGCCTATTCATAACAACCACATACATGCACTCTGTCCATTCCTCGGTCCATTCACTCACTGCTGCTGATCCACAGTACTGTTCTAAAGGCGTATTAATACTGTTATTTTATATACACTATTAACTTATCCAGGGAAAGTTGAAACATTATAAACTGGGCTACAAATGGTATTTGTAGCTATTTTATTCAATATTTCAGGTAATTTGAAAACAACAGGAAGTTATTAAATGATAAATGATATGTTGAGATTATCTGTTTACAAAAAAAGGCCAGTTATCTTCAAGATTTGATTACAAGGCATTTCTATTTCTTTTGCATTTGTATTCACACAAAATTGCTTAGTGTCATTAAACATGGCACTGTCATAGGATGCCACCTCTGCCACAAGTCAGTTTGTGAAATTTTTGCCCTGCTAGATCTGCCCTGGTCAACTGTAAGTACTATTATTGTGATATGGAAGCCTCGAAGAGCAACAACAGCTCAGGCAAAAAGTGATAGACCACGCAAACTCTCAAAGCGGAGCTGCTGAGTGTTGAAACGTGTAGCGAATGAAATTCATCTATTCTTTGTTGCATCGCTCACCACAGAGTCCCAGACTGGGTCTGGAAGCAACTTCAGCACAAGAGCTGTGTGTGTGGAGCTTCATGAAGTAGGTTTCTGTAGCCGAATAGCTGCACACAAGCCTAAGATCTGATGCCAAGCATTGGCTGGAATGGTGTAAAGCACACTGTGCCTGGACTGAAGCGGTGAACAGGTGTTCTCTGGAATGAATCGCACTGTTTTGTTTTTTTCTATATAGTTTTGTTGATTTTTCAGTAAAAATGTGGAAAAAATTAATTTCCAATTTGGAGGTTTTTTTCCATTTGCATATTAATTTTGTCGTAAATATTGAATACTTGTGTTAATAATGAGTATTATTGCAAAGCTAACTTTGTGCTGAATCAGACCATATCAGCAGGTCACAGTCAAAATTATAATGAAATACAGTGCCCTCCACAAATATTGGCACTCCTAGTAAACATGAGCAAAACAGGCTGTAAATACAGTTTTTTTATTGTTGATCTTTATCCTTTCATTTAGAAATATTTGGAAAAAATGTAACCTTTATTTGAAGTACAATGATTGAAAGAAAAAACTGAATCTTATCCTGAAATAAGCATTTTTCTTATATCTGTGTGTTGCACAATGTTGGCACCCTTTAATTTGTGCAGCCTCCCTTTGCAAAGACAGCAGCTCTGAATCTTCTCTTTTGTGCTTAATAAGATTGGAGAACACATGGCAATTCCTCCATACAGAATTTCTCCAGATCTTTCTGGTCTGCGCTTGTGGACTCCCAAATATTTTCTATGGGTTTTAGGTCAGGGAACCGGGATGGCTATGGCAAATTGATTCTGTGGCCAGTGAACCATTTTTGTGTTGATTTTGAGATGTGCTTTGGATCACTGTCCCGCTCGAAGATCCAACCACAGCCCAGTTTAAGCTTTCTTGCTGAGTCAGGTTTTAATTTAATATTTGCTGGTACGTAAAGGAGTCCATGATATCTTGTATCCGAACAAGCTGTCCAGGGCCTTTGGAAGAAACAAGGCCCCACAGCATCACAGATCCACCACCAGACTTCACCGTGGGGATGAGGTACTTTTCTGCATGCCCATCTTTGTGTCTACACGAAATCCACCTCTGATGTTTGTTGTTAGAAAGCTCTATTTTGGTCTCATCTGACCAAAGAACACAGTCCTACTGAAATTTCCAGTAAGTCTGACAAACTGTAGGAGCTTGAGTTTGTTGGTTCTTGACAGCGGAGTCTTTCTGCTGGCAACCCTTATAAACAACTTGTGGTTATGTAGGTCGTGTCTGATTTTAGTTAGGGAAATGTTTGGACCCCAAGACCTGACTAAGGTCCCTGCTGTGATTTTCAGAGAATTTTTTTACCTCTCTAGGTTTGGGGTCAGTTTAGACATGCATCCATTTCCTGGCAGATTCTTAGCATCTCCAGTTGTTTAAACTTCTTAATCATTGCCCTGATAGTGGAGATGGGCATTTTCAGCTGTTCAGCTGTTTTCTCATAGACGTTTCCTGATTTGAGCAGCTTAAAAACCTTTTGTCGTTCATCACTGCTGTTTTCTCTGGTCTTTCTCATAGCGATGGATGAGCAAATTTGGCCTGTGTGTCACCTCATATTTATACCCCAGGGAAACAGGAAGACATGTCTGACCATTTAAGTGTTCCTAATTGCGCAGGTCAATTTCAAAACATAAAATATTAATGGGAACATACCTTTCACTCAAGATTTTCTAGGGGTGCCAACAACCGTGACACTATGACACACAAATTTGAGAAAAAAGATTTCATTTCTTCTCTTTTAATTATTAGATATTAAATAATGGTTAGATTAATGTTAATATTTAAAGTGAAAGATCAAAAGGATGAGCAGTAAAAAATGTTTACAGCCTGTTTTACTCATGTTTACCAAGGGTGCCAATGTTTGAGGAGGGCACTGTAACCCGCCAGCGACTTTTTGACTGCTGAAACCTGTTAACCTGCGCCTTAGTGTGATATATTAGAATCATTTTATACGTCTTTAACAAAAATGGTTATATATTAATGAAAACAGGAAAACACTGATTCCAAATGTTTGAACGTGTGTGTGTGTGTGTGTGTGTCCTCAGAGCTTTGATCTCTGTGTCTGAACTCCAGCTGAGGGTGGAATTAGCCGAGTGTGTGCAACAGGCCGATAACGTATCCAATATTGGCTCTCTCTCTCTCCCTCTCTCTCTCTCTCTGTGTGTTTGAGATGGTACTCCACTGCCCTCTGGTTCGATGACTGCTGTTTGTGCTTTCTGTTGCCTTAGTACAAACAGTAAATCTCAGGAGTGTAAAATGTAGTAATATAGCAGTACACATATAGTGGGTCCAGAAAGCATTCGGACGGTTGGAAGGTTCATCATGTTATGAAGCAAAATGTCAAACAAAGTGTCACTCATTTTAAACTGACCATTCAAGGACTATCTTTTTCTTTTTTGCAAAGTCTTCTTGCAGAAGGACGATCTGGTGAATTTCAGATTATTGTTTGAGCAGTTTCTCTGCAGACATCTGCAGGATTTTGCATCCTAAAGATCTTTGTACTCTTTTGAGTTCATGATGCCACCAGTAAGCGCAAAGCTCACCATTACCACTGTAAAGAAAACAGCCCTAGACTGTGATGTTTCCACCTCTGTGCTTTACAGTACTGTCAGTGCAGTCTGGTTGGAGCTCTTCTCCAGGCTTTCTCCAAAGAGTCCACCATCAGTTTGATGTTAATGCTAAAAGTGTTTTTCTCTGAAGTACATCACTTCAACCTTCTATGATGTTCAACATTTTATGATGTAACTCAAAGAACTTCATTACAGTTTACTAGTGATAAGGTAGTGTCTAAGTACTTTCTGTAGCCACAGTATTTGCAGGTACGGTTCAATTTTCAAATCAGATATCAAGGTTTGATTGAGTTGTTATATTTTTATGTGTTAAAACTGATTATACAGAGCTCTAATTTTATACTACACAGATTAATTTGGCTTAGATAATTAAAAAGTCTCAAATAGAACTTTTCAGTATCTGCCATACCCCAAATATCACATCGCTTAGAGTTTATGACTTCAGAAGAAAGCCCATTCATTTGAGTGTGGGTGTATGTATAGTATAAGCCCCTCCTCCTTTAGCTTCAACAGTGTTGACAAGAGTTTTCTACAAAAGATGCCAAATAAAAGACAAAAGAGAGAGACTGAGAGGATTGCATCAGCGGTATAAATTTAAATTTTGGTACTCTGTTTCAATGATACTGTATAGAAGTTGTTCCATTTTATAAAAATGGAGAGATCCGATTCTAAAGTCTGATTGACTAAACCAAGTACAAAGCCTTTTTAAAATGGTCAGTATCAACTGAGTTCTGTTTAGTTAGTCATGTTATTAAAACCTGTGATGCTACTTAGCAACCATAACCTAATGTTAACAAACTAAATAGCTTGCCGTGAGAAGTGTTTGTTGCATTTAATGTGGGTATTAAACTATGTAATTTATCAAGCAGTGGTGTAACTTATTGTATTTTATCACAGTTTTACAAAAGCAATAAGGAACTCGGGGCCATGGAAAAAATGTATTGTATTGTTTTCATTGTCTATATTCGACTACTGTTGATTCAATGTTTTTAACTTTTTTAATAACATGCGTGTTTTTTTTCTCCTCAGGACCCTGTGTATGGAAAAGGGAAGCTGGCAGAGATCCAGGGCCTCATTCTTGGGATGTTGGAGACTTTCAACTATGAACAGGTACTGTGTGTGTGTGTGTGTGTGTGTGTGTGTGTGTGTGTGTGTGTGTGTGTGTCTGTGCATGTGTGTGTGTCTGTGCATGCTGCTTCTATTTGTACAGAAGACATATGGGGAAAACAAATAATGAACTGAAAATTAAAACTGTGTTCACATTAGTGTTAAAGTGGTGTTAAGTCTGATTTTCTCATACAGCATTCAAGGCATCTGCACTTGTGGTTGTCATGCACAAACATTTGCAAAGGGCTCTGCCAAAATACTTGTGCGTAATGTGAACTTGTGCAATAGGGGGCAGCATCCAAACCACAGTGTACAAAAAATAACCATTTTTGTAATTTTTGAAGATGGGTTGTATAAATGCTTGTAACATCACACCTCTTCTGCGAGCTCGTCTTTGAAAAGCTCCAATTGATTCTACACTAGTTTCGGTTCTTTCTCTCTGTCTCTCAGTTTCAATTCTGTTCCATTCACTCTGGCTATTAAGATGTTTCCCTAATACCTACTAATTGGTACAGATTTGTTTGGATATTAGTGAGTAACGTACAAGTCACAGGTTATTAGATTACTCTTTCCAGGAATCAATAAATAATCCCAATGCAATTTGAGAGAAATAATAAGTAATTGCCTCAACAAACGCAAATGTGAGTCACCAAAGCAGAATGACTGGATTTGATCGAAAATTAGAATTATGTACTAAAGCTAATATTGTGAACGTAAACTAAATGAGCCAAAAATATGTTCTTTGTTTCTTCCTCAGGGTTAGGCTCTCCCCTAGGTTTGTTATATCCTAAGACTTACACTGCAGACAAGGTTATCTTAGCGAGTGAATTGATCTTAAATGTAGTGCAGATGTCTAATATTTCTCATTAAGAAATGGTTGTAGAAATATTATAATATTATTTAACTTATTTCTCTAATTTTATTTGTTTTATGTCATTTTATTAAGTGAAATGATCTCATTATATTGGCTGAAAATGTACTTCTTAAAATTATCTTAAAATTAGCTAAATTATCTAAATTATTATAAATTAGCTAAATCATCTGCCAAAATAGTGAGAAAATTTCATTTAACTCTAAAATCCCAGGCTTATTACATACTAAGGCTTATTATTCAGTAACTACAGGCATTTCAATGTAAACTGTCTGAGCTATTCTTAGACTATAAAAGTGCGTAGTGAAACGTTTGGCCCAGTGATGGATCCTGGCCATTTAAGGGGTTAAGGTGGCTGTTTCATTCAGTACTGTTATACTTTTCTACAAGTACTGCATGTGAATTTGTGTAGACAAAGGTTATTAATTAAACTGGACCACTTAACTACGTCTCTCATTTCCTGTTTAATGAACAGTAAACACATATGTTTGTGATTAATTAATGCTTGTTGAAGGTTCAGTGGCTCTTTGATAACACTTGTGCACGGTTACCCACTTACTGCTAGCGAAACTGTTTAATACAGTGAGAGACGAAACCTCCATCATTTCATTGCGTTGGTGGTCAGATATGTCCACACTGAACCCCCTCGCAGCCTGCAGGCACACCTCTTTGCTCTGTTTGTGTTGTTTTGTTGTCTAAATGGGATTAAAGTTGAGTTATTGTGGTCAAGCGTGTGAGGAACTGCCTGTGGGCTTGTTTCGAATGTGTGTGTGTGTGCGTGTGTTATTGAACTGTAACACACACTGAAACTCCCCTGGCAACTCATTACACCCAATCAGACAGAGGAGCCTCTCTCTCGCTCTTTCGCTCGCTCTCTGTTTCTATCTATATATCTCTCTGTCAATTTCAATTTAGTTCTATTCAGTGTGCTTAGCTGACATTACACACAGTGGTACATTTGTATTGTCAATGCTTGGATTCCAGAGTGTGAAAAAAATTAAATATTGAAGAAAAGAAATTGGACATATTAGACTTTAAAAATAGAATAGAGAGCATTAAAAGGGCAACCAAATATTTTTCTATTTATCTGTCCATCTACTTACTACAGTGTTAGTACTAGTAGTGGCATTGATATAAAAAGTAACTTGATGAGAGAAAGAAAAACAACATTCTTAACTTCTGATTAAGTTAATGTAAAAATTTTATTTGTAAGTCTTTTTTGGACTAATTGTATTGGTCCATTCATCATGGCGTTTCAACAGAATCGAACATATGTGTGGATACCTGGGTCATTCTACCAAATTGGTTCAAAACACATCTGACTTTATACTAATCCTTTTGTTTTGGATGAACCTGAGTAACACTTTTAATTAAATTAAATGAATTGAATTAAATGTCACTACCATTCACTACAGTCACTACCGTTTTGACACTACCCAAACAATCATAACACTAGCTTTACCTAATGTTTCATTAGTGACTGTTTCAGTAGTTAACTGTCTGTTACATTACATGTCTGATTTGACGCTTGCAGCACACTCAATTTTTTTTATTTTGGTTTGTATAATATGAAGTGCGTTCTTACACCCCACTGTCTAGTGCTTATGAATGTTCGATGTAAGTGTTTCCATGGTAACCTGGTTATTTTCTTATGGCTTTCTACTCTTCATTGGGTTTTTTTCCTCTCTTCATGTAATATTCAGATCGTAATACACAGTGTGATAATCTACTGAAGCTAAGTAGTGCTCTGTCAAGTGCTACTTCAACAAAACACACTGCCCTCTGTTAAAAAAAATGCATGAATAAAGCAGTGTGTCTGCACAACATTCATTCTAATCAGTGAGATGCACTCAAAGCTTTTGCTTAAAAAGAACAAAAAATCTTAACTTCTTTACAGATGGACATTTAAGTTATTCAGATTTAAAGGTGGATACGACAGATTTTTCAAAATATCTAAATAGTAAATGGTTAAGATGTAAACTCATTTAAAGTGGTAAATCTTCTGTTTTAGACACTTAAAGTCAGAATTGTTCAGAGTGGTGGTGATAGGAACCAGACACGAGATTAATGCCTCAAAAAGCTCACGTAAGATACTACATGAGATTGTTGTGAATACGCTGACTGATGCCCGAGACATAGTTTAATGATAGTTTTTTAGTAGAGATAAGATTTTGACCTAAAACATATAGTTTTAAAATCCATTTGTGGCAGAGAAGCACATACAGGGTGTTGTAAGGCAAAATAGGCCCAAATGGAAAAACTTTTATTTTTTCAGATTCACCACTACTTTATCATCATCAACATTACATTTAGAAACACAGCAGACACGTGTAGGTTCACTGGTCATTTTGGATAGTAAATAAAATGGCTGTAGTTGTTTTGTAGACATCGACTCCTGGTTCCTATCAGCACCACTGTAAAGAAATCCCTAAGAGTTAGTAAGTTACCAGTAATGAAATTGTTCATTGCAGGGTAATTCAAATCACTCTGAATTACTTTGTTTATATCAACCACTGAATTATGCAGAACTTTTGAAGAATCAGTGGAATTCAGCTTTAACAGAAAATGACACAGACGCCTCAACAACTAAATATATTATCAGTTTTGTTGGTATTCAGTGTGTCCACTATTTGTCTTTATCACAGCTTCAATTCTTATCAGTTTGCTTGCTTTCAGTTTTTCAAAGAAATCTGCAGGGATGTTTTTCCACTTTTTGAAGTCTTACAAATTTGTTGCATTCTCTGCTTCTCATTAGGCCTGTCACCGTAGTGACAATCACCTTTTCACAATTATTTGAGATGATAGAAAGTATTTGAGATGATTGCAGTAACTTAAATCAAGGTTGCCAAATCCTGGTCCTGGCGATCCACCACTGTGCAGAGTTTAGCTCCAACCTCAATCTAACACATCTAAACCAGGTAATGAAGGCCTTGAGGCACATCGCAGTAACAGAGCCAGGTGAGCTGGATTTGAACTCTCCAGGGTGGTAGATCTCCAGGACCAGGATTGGGCACCCCTGACTTTAACTAACTGCAATAATTTTCCACAGTCATCAGATTTCACAGTAATATTAAACCACAACAAAAAATGTGAATTGGGTGCTTTGGGTTGAGGCAAATAAGTGTAAATAAATAAAAGTAAATGCATTCATTCAGACATCATGGGACTTCATGGGAAATGGAGTTGGTGCTCTTCTAAATTGGTGCTCTAATGTTTTTAGCTTGTATGCTGGCAGAATGAGACTTTTTTTTATTGCTGATATTTTCACTCTCAAAAAAAATTATTTGAGCTAACCGTAATGATTTGCGCTAACCGTGATCATTTTCCAGTTATTTTATTTCAAGCCCAACAAACAGAATATGAATTGCATGCATTTTCATTGCAACAAATAAGGTGAGACAAATAACTGAATGAAAACAGAAGTTCATCTTATTTCCTGTTTGAAGGGAAAAATATCTTTCACCATTTTAATCCAAATGTAGCTGATCAGCCAAGACACGTTTGGTGTGTGAAGTTTGTTTGTTTCATTTTAGCACTTAAGCTATGAGGCAAATGTTGCCAGCTAGGAAGTGGAAGCTTACACAGCTTAGCATCGTGCGAGCTGCATTCATAAATCACACTTACTTTGACGTGCAAACCACGAGAACGTGCAAGCAAACTAGACTTGTCAAACACATCACTGCTGTGGGCACATTTTGGTTTCAAGCCAAATGAAAAAGGAGAACCCAAAAACTCGGAGGAGGCGCTTTGTCAGATTTGCAATAAAACGGTGGCTGTTAAAGGTGCTAATAGAACAAACCTGAGAAACCATCTGCGGATCCACCACCCCAGCCAGTTCACTGAACTTGGAAAGACAACCACGTCATCAGATTCTTCCCGGCGGCTGGCTGTTCCGAAGACTCTCGGGCGAGTATCTGAATATTAACGCGACAGTACCAGATGGCGCACGTTAACCAGCAGTGTAACATGGTTTACAGCCAAGGAAGTGCTGCCGTTCAGTACGGTAGAAAATTAGCAACTATTTAGCAACTAGAAAATTTGCAACTATTATTTTCAAGTTTACAATTTAAAGACAAGAAACAAATCTTTATATACATTTATGAATGTATTGCCCATTAAATTGATGTTTTTC